GCCCACCTGTTGATCTCTTTTCTGCGTTAGAGCTCTTTTTGCCTTTTCTCGCTCTCCAGTGCGGATTTTCAGATCCAGCATAGCGAATAAGTTTAGGCCCAGATAAGCACAAAATCTCAAAATTGACTTTTCATCCGGACACTGACTCTAAATGACGTTCTAGGTCGAATAGAGAACATGTGCGAAGGGTGCTTTGGCGAGCGTCTTGAAGCTTTGAATGTCCAGAGATATGTTTACGATGATGCTTTCATTTATGTAGCGCTGGTAAGACTTTCGTTCATATGATTTATATGTTTTGTTACTGCCAATATCACATTTTTAGAGCGAAGATGGTGGTGCGAACTCCAATGTACCTAAAACAACGAGGAGAACACAGAAAAATAAATGTTTCAAAGTCAAGGTAATTCGCTACATCTGACAATTCACAGTCATGAAAGGCTGCTTGTAGATGTCATCGACGGATACGATAAAAGATCTGAAAATACAGCTTTACAAGCAGACGGGACAAACTCCAAATGATCAGTTACTGTATCGCGAGCTAGGTGGATCACTATTAGATAGTGATTCGACACTTTTTGATGCACGAATAGAGAAAAATAATTCTGATCAGGTCGGTTTGTTGCTTGTTTCGCAAGAGAATGCTTTGAAGATGTGTTTCAGCCTCTGATACTCATTGCGCAATCCATCTCAAATGTTCCTGTGAAATATGATGAACAACAAGTGCGAGCGCCGGAACGAGGCTTTATTGACACTGCACTTGCGCACTAACTTAATTCATCGTTTAAGGAATTGTATACTAAAAGGAAATCGTCGCTCAAAATCTTTCCTACTTCATGATTGACTGAGTAGTTGTCCAGTTGACACTCTACCGGTTTTGAGTCAGACTCTAGGTGAAATCTACGAATGTATTAAATGGAGACATGTCGGGGTTTGAGCTGTTGCAAGTGGGGCTCCTCCTGCGACACCCACTACTATCTATGCGTTCTTTAGGTGATTCAATCGGTTTCTATGCTCAGGTATCGGTCACTCTTTTGCTATTTCTGCTTGGATCTCACTATCTTGTCGCTTATTCCGGTAACGCTTCTGAAAAGCTCATTCCACTTATAAATACAGTCATCGTTGTTTTACTCTGCTTTCTGTTCCAATTTTTGCGTCTTTTAACAGGCAAGTTTATCGCTAGTTGATTTAGCATTAGTCTTAGCTCTAATTGATCTCCTTATCTT